CCGGAGCTCCAAACTCCGGTCAGTAGGGGAAGCAGTCCTGTTGGCTCTGCGTGAAGAGCTGCTGCGCCAAGACGCTGGCAAAACCGCTGCGGTGGCCACAAGAGTCGCGCTGGCGACCCGTGGGGCTCCTCCACTGGGAATCGGCTGATCGGTGAGTGACGAAAATTCGTCTAAAAGTGTGGCGTCGTCTTGTTCTCTGGGCTTTCACTGGGAGCTACAATCCTGAGCTGTTAGTGGTCGGCCATCTTGGATCGATCTCCCTATTTTTATTTTTTTTAAGAGACAGGCCCTCCCTTCTTTGCCCAGGCTGGAGTGCAGTGGTGCAATCTTGGCTCATGGCAGCCTTGACCTTCTAGACCCAAGTGATTCTCCTACTTCAGCCTCCCAAGAAACTGGGACTGCAGTTGTTCACCATGATGCCCAGTTATTTTAAAAAACTTTTGTAAAGATGGAGTTATGTTGCCCAGGCTGGTCTCAAAGGATCCTGTTGCCTCAGCCTCCCAAAACGCTGGGATTACAGTTGTGAGCCACTGCACTTGGCCAACACTCACTTTTAATAGACTGCTTCATGAACTTAACTATAAGTGGTTCCTATTTCTAGCCACAATATATTTTTAGATACTTTATTTTAGAAAAAATCCTTATAGGATGAAATCCTAAGTAAGCATGAATTCTACCCTGGCCAAATATTTATTCATTCAGCAAATATTAATTGGGTTCATTTTATGTGCCTAGCACTGTTCAAGGTATGAAAATACAAGAGTGAATGGGATAGGCAAGATCCCTGCTCTCTAGAAACCTACATTCTTATGAGGTAGGATAAGCAATAAATAAGTAAATAAAAATTAGTACATATAATTTCACATAGACATCGTGCTATGAAGAAAAAATTTTAACAGGTGGTGTGCTAGAGAGTGCTGAAGTGGAGAATGAAGAAGGAGGGTTTAGATGGTTGTGTTAGATTAGGCAGTTCCTAGGAGGCGTCCCTGAGAGGCTACTGTTTGAGCTAAGATGAATAACCAGGAGGAGTCAGCCCATGCAAGTCTGTGAGGGGCAATGGCACGTGACAGGCCAAATAACACCATAGTTAACATCACAGGCACTGGAGTCAAATTGCGGTTCTACCACTTACTAGCTTCATCAATAATGAGAATAATAATGGCTACTTCCGAGTGTTGGCTACACAAAAATGAACTGATGTAAAATATTTACAGCAGTGCCTAAATATTATTCTTATCATTAACTGGAGACGGCATGTTCCAGAGTATAGCTGTGCAAAGACCGTAAGGCAGGAAGGAATATTGGATGTTTGAGCATAGAAAAAGTGCCATGAGCCTGGAGCTTAGCAGAGTGCAAGGGAAAGTGGCCAGAAATAAGATCAGAGAGGCAGGCAGAGGACAGATGAGTAAGGCCTTGCAGATCAAGATAAATTTTGGATTTTAAGGGTGTTAAGAAGCTAATGGGGGATTTTAAGCAAAGGAAATACATGGTCTGATTTGTATTTTCAAAAACTCCTTTTGGCTACAGAACAGAGAACAAGTATCAGCTGGACTTGTGATTTGCTTTAGAGATAGACCTAAAAATTCTTGCCAATAGATTGGAATATGGAAGGAAAAGGAAAGGCTGCATATGTTTCTGTTGCTTTGGCCTATGTGACTAGATTTAGTATGATTCATATAAACCACTGATGAGCAGTTCAATGGTTCATCTTTATTAGGCAACATGTTAGTCAGAAAAGTGTTAAATGAGGTGTTAAGAATAGTGCCTGCTGGGCCGGGTGCAGTGGCTCACTCCTGTAATCCCAGCACTTGGGAGGCCAAGGCAGGCAGATCATGAGGTCAGGAGATTGAGACCATCCTGGTCAACATGGTGAAACCTCGTCTCTACTAAAAATACAAAAAATTAGCTGGGCATGGTGGCGTGTGCCTGTAATCTCAGCTACTCAGGAGGCTGAGGCAGGAGAATTGCCTGAACCCAGGAGGTGGAGATAGCGGTGAGCCGAGATCGCGCCATTGCATTCCAGCCTGGGTAACAAGAGCGAAACTCTGTCTCAAAACAAAACAACAACAAAAAAAGAATAGTGCCTGTTGGGCTGGGTGCAGTGGCTCATTCCTGTAATCCCAGCACTTGGGAGGCCGAGGCAGGCAGATCATGAGGTCAGGAGATCGAGACCATCCTGGCTAACACAGTGAAACCCTATCTCTACTAAAATCACAAAAAATTAGCCAGGCGTTGTGGCACGTGCCTGTAATCTCAGCTACTCGGGAGGTTGAGGCAGGAGAATAACTTGAACCAGGGAGGCAGAGGTTGCAGTGAGCCAAGATTGCGCCATTGACCCTGCCTGGGTGACAGAGCAAGACTCCGTCTCAAAAAAACAAAACAAACAAACAAAAAAAAACAAAAAAAGGAATAGTGCCTGCTGTAAATATACCTTCCTAGATAAGCCAGAGTTAGACTAAAGTTAATTAAGGATTAGCATCTTCTGTAAAACAGTTATTAATGTAACTCTTTTATTAGTTGCTTCAGGGATCAAATAATAAAGCCTAAATAAAATTATCAATTGCTAAAACAACCTCCTCTTGATACAGTTTTAAAAAACAAAAGATCACTCAGAGCATTAAAAAGCTAGAGTTGATTGAGAAACATGGGCAGGCGGGAAGAATGGGCATTGTTTGCTTGGTAGAGCAATTATATATACCCAGCATTGGCTAAGAGAGGACTGTTCATCTAGCCTATCTGGAGTGAACCTGTTGCTATAGGCACCTCTAATCTCATCTGTCTGTCCTACTGTATTTACAAAACAGTTTTCTGAACTTCATTTGATTTCTCAAGTAGACTGTCTTATTCGGAAAATGCTTTTCTCTTTTAAAATTAACTCCATTACAAATCAATCTCCTTAGAGTTTAAGCAGCATGAGACAGTTTTCCCAGGAGCTGATCACCTGTAATTAAGTTTCATGTTAAGGTTTAAGATCAGCAAAACTGGGAGACTTAAAATAACAGAAACACTGAGACTTTTTCTGATCAGTCTAACATCCTCATTCTCCCATTGTCAAGGATCAAATACTGAACCAGATAAATAAAGGACTTTTCTGGGGGCACGGAGGGACAGTCTCTCTGGTAGCCTGGGCTGAAGTGCAGTGATGTGATCTTGGCTCACTGCAACCTCCACTTCCTGGGTTCAACTGATTCTCATGCCTCAGCCTCCTGAGTCGCTGGAACTAGGCATGTACCGCCACAACCGGCTAATTTTTGTATTTTTAGTAGAGATGGGGGTTTCACCATTTTGGCCAGGCTAGTTTTGAACTCCTGCCTCGACCTCCCAAAGTGCTGGGATTACAGGCATGAACCACTGTGCCCGACCAAGGACATTTTTTTTGTGTTCTGATTTAAGCTTATACCCTTTACCTGTCATTAGTACTTCTCCAGTTCTGTGGACATACTGTATGACATATCTGGGCTAAACATTTGCTTCAACTACTAGATGTTTATTTTATTTTATTATTTATTTTTATATTTCACTTTACTTTTATTTATTTATTCTAGTCTATTCTATTTTTGAGATGCAGTCTCGCTCTGTCACCCAGGCTGGAGTGCAGAGGAGCAATCTCGGCTCACTGAAAACAACGCCTCCTGGGTTCAAGTAATCTCCTGCTTCAGCCTCTGGAGTAGCTGGGATTACAGGCTTGCACCACCATGCCTGGCTAATTTTTGTATTTTTAGTAGAAACAGGGTTTTGCCATGTTGATTGGCCAGGCTGGTCTTGAACTCCTGATCTCAGGTGATCCACCCACCTTGGTCTCCCAAAATGCTGGGATTACAGTTGTGAGCCATTGTGCTTGGTCAGACATTAATTTTATTTTAAGTAGAATATATCTCTTATGAGGAAATTTGTCCCTCTTTATTCTAGTTTTCTTAACAATGAGGAGAGCAGAGAGCAGTAGTATCTAGTTTTTAGTGCAGGACTGAAAAAACAAGACTAACTAACAACACTAAAACAAGCGCTCCTTTTCTAATTTTTTCTAATTTTCCTGTTGCCACTGTAGTCTTCCCTGAATTACTGCAGTAGCCTCTTTATTGCTCTCATGGTTTTTATTTCTTGCCCTCTGCACTTTTAAAGGAGCCAGGATGATGTTTAAAAAATGCATATCACTCACCTGCTTAAAACCCTTCTGTAGACTTCTGGCTTACTTAGAATGAAATCCAAACCCCTTACCATGGCCAACGAAGTCCCATAGTCTTTTATAACCTCATTTCCTGTATTCTTTCCGTTGCTCGCTGGTTTCCAGCCACTGGGCCTCCTCTCTGATCCTAGAAGAGGCATCCCTTTTCACTTGACAGCCTTTGTATTGCTGTTCCCTCTGCCTGAGGCACCCACCCCCAAGATCTGCACATAACTGACCCTTGAGGCTCAACTCAAACCTCACCTCTTCAGCAAGGCATTCCTTGGCCTTTGCAAACGGAAGCAGCACTTGTCTCCTTCATATACCTCTCAGTCACAGAATCTGCTTCTTCTTCACAGTACTTACACTATTGGAATTAGCTTATTTCATTTGTTTATTTATTTATTGACTGCTTCCCCTACTGGATTGTCTGTATATTCCAGAAAAACAGGGACCTTTTCTGTCTCCTTCACCACTGTGACTCCAGTGCCTGACACAAAGTAGACATTCAATACAATATTTGTTACATGAATGAATGATTTCTCAAGTGGTTCTACTGTTCATTTACCTAATTGGGTTAGATACTTGACTCTGTGATTTCATTTTTCCAGCTTTAAAATGGTAATAATAGTATCTTTCATCTAATTCATATTTAGCATGGAGGAGAAAAATTAGGTTGTCTTTATATTTGGAAATGTTACTCTTGAATAATGTGATGCTGTGCAACAGATATATAGAAAGTATAGTAGGTACACAGTGAAAATGTTCCTTATCAGGTAAGATTCTGGATTTCTTTTCTAAATTGTTATTTTTTCTTTATTTCCTTTGGTTTTTGTAGAAAGTGACTGAGATGTACCAGTTCAAATTCAAATACATGAAAGAAGGAGCCACTATGGAGTTTGACAGGTAGAATCTAACTGCTTAATGAACATGAGAAATATATAGGATTGAGGTAAACGTAGGCTTTTTGAGGACAAAGACCTTATACTTCTTTTCAAATTTCCCCACGAACCCTACAGAAAACCACTATTATAAAAAGGGGCTGCAACAATTGTTTACATTCCTGAAATCTGTGGATTAAGCTGGTGGGAATAGAGAAAATGGCAGGCAGCACAATGGTAGAAATTATATTAATAAGCTGCCTATATGCTGTTGATTGAAATACTCCATAAGGCTCTGTCTACCCATTAATCCAAAGTTTCTCAACTGCTATGCCAAGATACTGATCCTCTCCATGCTCAATATAGCCAAACAGTGCCTGGAGTAGCTAACACCTCTGGACTACTTGCCTATACGCACAACCTAGTATGTCATATAAATATCATTTTCTATCTGTCCTTGCATGAAAAGATTAGAAAGCACTGTAGTTTCCTATTACATTGAAAACTCCAAGTTTTAGGTATATTAATGGGTTAAATAGGAAACACAAGGACATTTGCTTCAGAAGGTCCCCAGTGCAGATGGAGATGTTTCATTGAAGAGCAACATTTATTTTTCTCCCAGTAGCTTTTGGATTCAGCCCTGCCAGGAGAGATGAAGAGCTAAGTATTGCTGATGAGATGGCATAGTAATGGAAGGTACAGATGATGGTGAAAAGCTCTGGATAATAGAGGAATTTGAGTAAAGGGGATGGGTGTCCCTGAAAGGAATGATGAGAGACATGGCCTAATTTTCAATTTTCCCTACTATTAGCTCTGGCTCATCATTTACCATGAGCTTGAGAGCTTTTCTCCAAGATTCACTCCCTTAATTATCCTTCCATTTGTAAAACCTACAGACAGCACTAGGATGTGAAGAGAAAATCAGTTCCAAAAATGAGAATTAAAATATTACCTTTTATTAGCTAACATTGTATAATACTTTACAGCTTAGACAGCAGCACTTTTCATACATACTTTCTCACATAAAAAGTTACCTTTTATTCTCCAAAACTCAAATATATACTGATGTCCAGATTAAACTCTTTTGTTCTGAAGGCACATATGCCAGGAGGTAAACAGTAAAATAAAAATGGCCATATCTTTCACATAATGAGGAGGAGAGAAAGTAATGCATATTACTGATTTCCTAGAGAAGAAAAATAGGCATTTGTTTAAATGGGAGTTCTGAATATGATTTTACTGATGTATCCTGTAGGATCCCATGAGCTACATGCCTATAGCCCTTCACTCTGGTTATCTACATTTGAATTGGTTAGATCTTGGTTGGTAAAATTTTAAGTTGTTCAAAATTGGAAAAGGAGCTAATGTATTCACTTAATAAATGTTTGCTTCATGAATTCACACTGCCTCCAAAGATCAGTTAGGGAAAAATCCAGCAGTTTAATTACTTATGTTTATTTTTCATATGAGCTAACTTTGTTAATGGCACTGTATAAATATATTGTAGTCATGGTCCTTCCTGGAAACTACTCAAATGAGAGACTAACTGGGGAAGAAAACTTAGGAGATAAATAAACAAAGTTTAGAATTGGAAGGTAATTTAGTCCAAATTTTTCATTTATTCATTAATTCAACAAATGTTGATTGAATAGCTGGGCACCAAACTCTGTACGGTGGAGATGAAAGATATAGCCATTCAAAGTCTAGAAGACAAACAGTTATCCTGAGGATAAGTTGAGGGTATTGTCAGAGAAGACTTCCTTGAAGAGGTGGCACATAAGCTAGGTATTAAAGGATTAATTTAGGACAATCAGAAAGAGAAGTGGAAAAGCACAGTACAAGCAAAGTGAACAGCATATGCAAATATTGCGAGTGAGAGGAAACTGGGTAGTAGCTGCAGATGAAGATGGAGGTGACAATGTGATGGGTTGTAAAAGGAATTGTATACCACACTGAGTTTGATTGAAAGGTGATGGATATAATAGAAAAATTTTAAGTAAGAAGTAACATGAGCAGATTTTCCTATTAGTAATATTATTTCAGCAGTGATATGGAGAATATTTTGCAGTGTGGACAAGAAGGAAAGCAGGAAAAATAGCCACTATAGTAATCAATACAAGAGTGAGGAAGGGATACTTTTGATAGATAATCAGTTGGTAGAAAGGCCCAGAGCTGGTGATGGATTTTATGCTCGAGAGTTATAGAAATGTCTTTACCCTTATCTCACAAATGAGCTAACTGACCTAGAGTGTGTCTAAATGACTTGACCAAGGTCATTCAGCTAGTTAGCAGCAGAGCTGATATTAGATGCCAGGTCACCTAATTCCAAATTCATTGTTCTTACTATTGTGGTATATGATTTTTTGCTAATCAATTTTTTAAAAGATCATTTTAAATATTTTTAGGGAATTTGCTACTTAAGAAATTCTTTGGCCGGGCGTGGTGGCTCATGCCTGTAATCCCAGCACTTTGGGAGGCCAAGGCGGGTGGATCACAAGGTCAAGAGATCAAGACCATCCTGGTCAACATGGTGAAACCCCGTCTCTACTAAAAATACAAAAAATTAGCTGGGCATGGTGGCGTGTGCCTGTAATCCCAGCTACTCGGGAGGCTGAGGCAGGAGAATTGCTTGAACCCAGGAGGCGGAGGTTGCAGTGAGCCGAGATCACGCCATTGCACTCCAGCCTGGGTAACAAGAGCGAAACTCTATCTCAAAAAAAAAAGAAATTCTTTGTGTATACATTGCAAAAAGTACCATCCCTCCCCTAATTTACATTCTAAAAAAGTCTCAAAATGTCCTAATGTTTAATTTATATTCAATCACATAGTCAAAAGTTTTCTTCCTTTTGGCATAGATTGTCAATATTGTATATGATTGAAAAGTATACTTTTTTTTTATTTAGTTGTAGCAGCAGTACAAGTTTTGAAAGTGGAACAAATAATGAAGATATTAAGAAAGCCAGTGTTCTACTGATTCGTAAATTGTATATACTGATGCAGGACCTTGAACCACTTCCTAATAATGCTGTACTTACTATGAAACTGCATTACTATAATGCAGGTAGGTAGAAAACTTTAGGCTAATTCCTTCTTATTGCTGAAGTAATTGCTGAACTAATATTTTGTATAAGTAGAAGGATTTTGCAAGCATCTGAAAGAGATGTCTGTTGCTACACATAAAAGATTAATCTAACTTGTTCTGTTGAAACTCAGTTTTCATGGCTTTTTGCCCTTTTCATTTTGCAGTGACCCCACATGATTACCAGCCCCCTGGTTTTAAAGAAGGGGTGGATTCACAGTTTCTGCTGTTTGACAGGGAGCCTATCAACCTGCAAGTGGGATTCGTCTCCACTGGCTTTCATAGCATGAAAGTAAAAGTCATAACAGAGGCTACCAAAGTGACAGATTTGGAGAACAATCTGTTTCAGGAGAACAGCACTACTGAGATCGCCCATCAGGGTCTAGACTGTGATGAGGAAGAAGAATGCAATGACCATGTAAGGCAAAGCTTTAGTGATTTTCTACTGTGTCAGTTAAACACAATTGATATTTTTCAGTTTCTATCCAGGGCATGTCTACACATGGAGTGTGCCAGCTATAAAAACTGAAACAAGGCTGGGCACAGTGGCTCACCCCTGTAATTTCAGCACTTTGGGAGGCTGAGGCAGGTGGATCACAAGGTCAGGAGATCAAGACCATCGTGGCCAACATGGTGAAACCCCCTCTCTACTAAAATACAAAAAAAAAAAAAAATTAACTGGGCATGGTGGGACGCACTTGTAGTCCCAGCTACTTGGGAGGCTGAGGCAGGGGAATCACTTGAACCACAGGAGGCAGAGGTTGCAGTGAGCCGAGATCGTGCCACTGCACTACAGCCTGGCAACAGAGCAAGGCTCCATCCCCTCCCCACCCCAGAAAAGAAAAGAAACAAGACTAGCCTCTAACGTCAAATAGTTTTTAATTTAAAACAGTTTAATCTTCTAAAAGGAAATATACTTTGTTAGAAGAAATTATAACTAGAAGAAAAAAGATTTTCTAATATATTTTATTAAAGATATAAATTTAGAAAATTTGAGGTTTTCTACATTTATAAATGACATTTTTAGGATTGAAAAATATTCTTGGTATTTATTCATACTCATTGGAAGTATAAATCAGTTCTTAATATTGGGATAATTGGATGGGAGAAGTTGGGGAAGATAAATTTTATGGATAAACCCAAGTCAGAGTGAAAACAAATAATAATCAACTTCTGGTTATGTAGAGGGAGACAAGCTTTGGGGCTAAATCACTGGAGATAGTCAGGTGGTTGGTGGGGTTGGAGCCAGTGGAGCCAAACTGTCAGGTCTCTGAGCTCTTTATCCTCCCTTTTCCACCAATAAAGACTTAGAGTTAGATTCTTTCTAGGGTCACATTATGCCCTATGTAACTCCACACCCTTAACTGGCTGTTGTCTAGATAATAATGTTATCTGTATGCCAACATTGTGCTCAAAGAGTTCTGAGTTAGACGGAAAAAATTTCAGTAGGAAGGGATGCTATAAGATCTTTTCAGGAGGTATTTTAAGATTAGAATGATAACTTGTTTGCTTAAGATAATTCGAGTTTTACTCAAGATAGATGACTGTACTAGGTAACTTCTGAAGGTTTCTTCTAGTTCTTTAACTCTGTATTATGTTTAATACATTGAAAAGAGGTTCTAGTTGTTCTAGTTTTAATTCAATTAATATACATAAATAACCAAACAAGCAACAGTTTGCTTTTCATTTTTAGTGCTTTCTCGATGTTAGACATAAAAATGTCTTTGGATTTTGGTGCAATTTTCCTCTTCCAATTTTACTCAAGGACGATATAGCTAACATAGAAAGGGTAAAAAATGAAGGCTAAGAAAAGAATGTTTTAGCAATTTTTTGTTGTTGTTGTTTTTGAGACAGGGTCTTGTTCTGTTGCCCAGGCTGAAGTAGAGTGGCACAACCATGGCTCACTGGTGCCTCAACTTATCAAGCAGTCCTCCTACCTCAGCCTCTCGAGTAGCTGGGACTATAGGCACATGCCACCACATCCAGCTAATGTTTTATTATTAAATTTTTTGTAGAGACAAGGGTCTCACTCACTATGTTGCCAGGGCTGGTTTCAAACTCCTGGGCTCAAGCAATCCTTCCACTTTGGCCTCCCAAAGTACTGGGATTATAGGTATGAGCCACCACGCTGGACCTCAGCTAGGTTTTTATTTGTATTTTATTTTTTTGAGACAGACTCTTGCTCTGTTGTGTAGGTTAACGTCCTGGGGTGTAGTAGTCAATCACAGCTTACTGTAGCCTTGACCTTCTAAGCCCAAGTGATCCTTTCACCTCAGCCTCCAGAGTAGCTGTGACCACAGTTGTATGCCACCACACTGAGCTAATTTTTTATTTTTTTGTAGAGATAGGGTCTCCCTCTGTTGCCCAGGCTGATCTTGAACTCCTGGGCTTGAGTGATCCTCCTGCCTTGGCCTCTCAAAGTGCTGGGATTACTCCAAACCTGGTTAGATTTTTATCTTTTAATTAAGAATTTCTTTCTTTTTTACCAAATGAAAGCAGGACAGCCAAAGAATGCATAGTTCAACTGATAGATTAAATAAGGAATGCGATAATCCTTTCCAAGCATACTTTGAGTTGAAATTATATGTACAAGGATCTGGACTTTGTGGTAAACTCAGTTGATTGAAGTTCCTCTCTCAGCCAGCCAAACATATGGGAGAATTTAGTAAGTCTAGTGAAGTGGTCACTGTCACTTTACCACTAAGGATTCCTTTTTTTTCTTCATGGAATACATGAACACATACACACACAAATTCATACATGTGTATACATATGTAGAACCTTTATTTCTTTAAAAATTTCATTTTGAGATATACTATGCATATAGTAGAGTACATAAAAATAATATGTACAGTTTAAAGAATAATGAGAACCTCCATATATCCTCCATTTAGGTCAAGATGTAGAACATTGCTACTACCTTAGAAACCACCATGTACCCCTTCCTCATTGCACACCCCCAAGGTAACCACTCTCCTGATCTTCATGATAACCTTTCCCTTGCTCTTCTTTATAGTTTTGCCATGGATGAGTACATCTACTCATTTTGAATTTTTATATCAAAGTAATCATATTCTGGGTATTCTATGATTTTCTTCTTTTGCTTGAACCTCAAAATTGAGATTTAGCCATGTGTGTGGTGGTTGTTCTTTCATTTTCACTGCTGTAGAGTGTACCACTCTTGATAGACACTCGATAGACATTCTTTTTCATTGTTGTAAACATTCATGTGCACACCTCCCATACACCTGTCAAAGAGGTCTCTTGGGAATATATGAAATAGTTCTAGGCTTGTGTATTTTCAACTTTATTAGGTAATGCAAAACTGTTTTCCAAAGCGATCTCACCAACTTACCCACTACCAACAGTGGAAGAGTGAGCCCTACATTCTTGCCAACACTTATTGTCAGAGTTTATGTTTTCTGCTAATCTGCTAAATATGAAATGGTAATACCTCATGATGTTAATTTGAATTTCCCTGATTATTTATATGTTTGTGCATCTTTTCTTTGGCCATCCTATTTTTCTCATATTAAATAGCTGTTCATGTCTTTCATGCATTTGTCTTTTGGGTTATTTATCTTTTCCTCAGTGGTTTAAAAAATATGTTCTTAGTAATAATTCTTTTTCACTCATTTATGTTGCAATATTTTTTTTCATGTTTGTGGCTCATCTTTTTACTTTCTTTAAGAGGTCTTTTGATAAACATAAGTTTTAAATTTTAATATAGTCTAATCTTTTCCTTTAATATGTGCATTTGGAGAGCCTTAAGGAATTCTCTATCTGAAATCATTAATAATATTCTCATATTTTATTCTAAAAGTTTTAAAGTTTTTCTTTTTACATTTAGGTTTTTAATCCACTTAAAGTTTATTTTTGTTTATGGAATGAAGTAGACCAGACCTCCTTAACATTTTTAAATTCAAGTATAATAAACATACAGTAAAATATATATTCAAAAGCTGAATACTAGAGCTGAGATGAGGGTGAAACAAGCAAGGTGCCTACAGAGCATATTTAAAGGAAGATCTCGGGTGCCAAGAGTGAAGGCCTTCTTAAATTTTGCCCCCTGGACATCTTGTTTGCTTTGTCTTTGTCTCAGCCCTACTGAATAAACATGTGAAAGAAGCGCTCACATCAAGAAACAGAATTGCCACTGGACCCTGAGAAACCCCCAGTTTTACTTTATAGTCACTATTCTACTCAACAAGACTATTGCTATCCTGACTTCTATTTGCATAGATAGTTTCTCCTATTTATTGTATAGACATTGAATCATAGAGTATTTTTACATGTTGTTGTAGACCATGCTAACAATTTATTCATTCTATTGTTAGTGTACATTCGGGTAATTTCTAATTTTTGTCTACGATGGATAAAAATACTTTGAATATTCTGGAACATGCTTTTTAGTGAAATAACTACACATTTCAGTGGGAATAGAACTACTAGGAGTAGAATTGCCAGGTCAAAGGGTATGTGTATGTTTAGTTTTAATAGATAGAGCAAAATAGTTTCCAAAGTAGTTGTGCCAATTTACACTCCTATCGCAATGTATGAGTTGTGGTTGCTTTACTTTCTCACTAATCCTTGGCATTTTCCATTTTTAAAATTTTAGCTGTTTTGGTAGGTGTGCAGTGGTATGTCATTGTGGTTTTAATTTGCATTTCCCTGATGACTAATGAAGAGGAGCACCTTTTTATATGTTTATTGGCCAAGCTGAATATCTTCTTTTGTGAAATATCTGTTCAAACTGTTTGCCCCTCCCTTGCCTTTTTTTTTCGTCTTGGATTGTCTTTCATTCTTACTGATTTGCAGGAGCTCTGCAAATATATTCTGCATATAAGTACTTTGTTGGATACATGTATTGTGAATATCTTCTTCAACTTTATGAACTCATAATCTTCTTAAGTGTTTTGTGAACAGTTCTTAATTTTAATATATTCTAATTTATCAATCTTTTCAGCTGTATTCAGAAGCCTTTGGTACTGCTTGAGACATTTTTATCTACTTCAAAATTCATAGAGATGTACTTTATGTTTTTCTCTAAAAAAGGGAAATAATTACAGAAATGGAAGACAGATTTTTAAAATTATAAAAACCTCCATGAATAACTTCATACCAAAAAATATGAATACCTGGTCTTTCTCTCCTCTACCTTCAGGTATTCATATATTTTGGTATGAAGTTATTAGTGGAAGTCTCATAATTTTAAAAACATCTTCCATTTCTGTAGTTATTTACCTTTTTCATATCTGGTGCTGTTCATTTGTGTGTCATATATTTTTCTTATGTTTGCCAAAAATTAACATTTTTTATTAGTCTTTTCAAAAAGTCATCTTTTGGTTGTGCTGATCACTTCTATTGCTTTTTTTTTTTTTTTTTTTGGTTTTCCGTTTCATTTACAAGTAATCCTCC